TACATATGTGTGTGTGTATGCATGTGTTCTATAACATTCTATTCTATAATAGTATATAACATATTTTTATATACACATGTATATTTGAAGCTTATATAAAAGACACACACACACATATATATATATATGACAGACATATATATATATATATATATATATATATATATATATATATATATGACAGAGGCCAGAAAGCTGATGAAGTCACTGATAATTTAAAATCAGCTACCTGAATGTATGTGAGAAACACAGGCTGTGTCCATAGTGACATCTGCCAACTCATGCATGCAGAGATGGTAAATGGTTTCTGAACACTTTGGTTTACTGACGGCAAACTAAAATGGAGTATGAGAAGGCTGGAGAAACACAGAGGTTTAACAGGACAATGGAAGGCCTTCATTTCGGCTGCTGCATCTGAGCACAGCTATCCACTGCTGTGCTCCCAAGGACTTCTTGGTGACAGAAACCATGCAGTCATGAAAAGTCCAGAAGCCTACCACTACAGTCAGATATGCTAAAGATAGGTGAATCCCTCTTTTCCCAGTTTTTTTGAAATGTTGGCAAGTTACTATTTCATACTAGTGTTCTAGGCCTTTCTGTCTTTTCTCTTTTAATGTATTTATTTTATGAGTATAAATGTTTTGCCTGCATGTCTGTTTGTGGGCTCAGAAGAGGAACAGGAGTTACAGATGGTTGTGAGCCACCACGCAGGTTCTGGGAATTGAACTCAGGTCCTCTGTAAAGGAGTGCCTACGGCTCCCAGCATGCTAGGCTGGGTGAGCGCAATACTAATGAGCTATATTCCCAGCTCCGCTCTGCAACTTTTTGAAATAGTGGAAGAATTGTCTTTTTAGGAGAAAACTGAGAACAAGTGCTTGAGTGAAGATTTGCAAATTCACATTAGCATATCTTTAGATAACTTCTGCTGATTTGGAAGGCTAATTTAGTGGGCCAGTTACTTCAGTCCACGCAGATATGCAAATATGACCTTGGGCAAATATGACCTTGGGCATTGGAAGCCTGGGGCGGGATAGTCTGAACTTCCTGAATTTCTTAGTTCCCTTGGTAGGACCTTCTCTTCTGATGCTCCCTGTGTGTAGTCATTCTCAAGGCTCGTCACGTGTGGGTAGGGCCAGAGCCTAGGCTTGCTCTGAGCCTAAAACGTGCAACAATCCTTATTTCAGCTTCCTAGGTGCTGGGATTCATGGCTTGTTCATGAATTCTTTTTTTTTTAATTAATTTATTTATTATGTATACAAGATTCCGTCTGTGTGTATGCCTGCAGGCCAGAAGAGGGCACCAGACCCCATTACAGATGGTGTGAGCCACCATGTAGTTGCTGGGAGTTGAACTCAGGACCTTTGGAAGAGCAGGCAATGCTCTTAACCACTGAGCCATCTCTCCAGCCCCTGATCATGAATTCTTAAATGGGCATGGTTACACCACCACATGAAATACTTGCATGTCACTCAAAAGCTTCTTCTCCCAGCTGTCCACTCCACTTACCATTACCAGGCATGAATATTTGGAAAAGCCACAAATATTTGGTAAGAATGGCCCTTCCAGCCAAGACAGTCGGGCATACCTGCAATCCTAGCACTCACAAGTCTGAGGCAGTTAGTCTGCTGGAAGTCAGGAATGGGGCTGTGTGTGTGTTCAACTTCAATGAGTTTCTGATTTACTTGATGAAGTAAGATGGATGTACTGACTAGTAAATGCCAGCTAGAAAGCCAGATATAGCTAGAATGCCTGGTTTCCATTTCATAAAAATCCCATTTCTCTATTTATTGTAGTAATTTAGTCTCTCTCTCTCTCTCTCTCTCTCTCCCTCTCCCCAATTTGAGGGAGTTAGTTCTCTCCTTCCACTATATGGGTCCCAAGGAGTGAACTTAGGTCCTAATTTCATACACCCTTACTCACTAAGCCACCTCACTGCCCATGATTTCCACATATGAGTGTTTCTGTAAACCTCAATGCTACATAAAAGGCAGCTGACGTGTTTAATGAAGAGCACCAAGGCCATTTTCACATCATATGATCCTTTCCTTCCTCTGCAAGTAGGTGGCAATGCCAGCAGACCAATGTGCTGTGCTTCTATGATGGTGCAGATTAACAGAACTAATAACTGCACTCCACAGGACTCTTGGCTCCAACGACAACATTCCCTCAGAATCTGCTGTTGCTCAGCCACCGCACGGAGGCAACCAGAGGTCAGCAAAGGGCAGTGGAAGCCAGTGCGCTACCGACCTTGGGTGCAACAATCAATTGTCTTGATTACATCATATTGTGGGAGGGTGACTCAGGCCTCAGATTCTGGATCCTCCTAGTTCACCCTCTCCAGTGGGAACTTATAATTTAAGCTTCTTCTTGCTCTGATTATTATTTTTTTTTTTTACGGTCTCAAACTGTAGTCCAGGTTTATGGCAATCAACCTGCCTCAGCTTCCTCAATTAAAAAAAAATAGAAATACTTTTAGAAAATTAATTTTGTCAGTGAAGAACTCAGGCCGTGACTAACACTAGCTTTGTGTTTTGAGAATCAGAATGTGATCAAAGACCAGGTATGGGTGAACATGGTGTGCAGGCCAGTAACCCCAGCGTTCGGGAGGGAGAGGTGGGAGGATCTGCAGTTAAAGGATGTCCTCGGCTACACAGGGAATTCAAAGCCAGCCTGACTACATGAAATGCATCTCTCAAAATAAAATAAAATGAAATAAAGACGATTGATAGAAAAGCCTGACCCCCACCTCTTTAAAGATGCGGCCCACCCACTTAGGAAGTGCTGCAATAGCAGCAGAGGTCGGTAGGTGGCTCTGCTCCTTTGAAATAAAACTACGGTTTGTAAGACAGGCAAGGAACACCACCCGCTAAGCAGAACCTTTAATCAAAACAACAAACAATATTCTGCAACAATGGCCTCTGGTTTAGAATAGCATGTGGAAGCCTAAAAATTAAACCCAGAAGAAAAATTGCAAACTGTGTATGGGTAATCAATTTGCTAAAAGACAGGGAAGGTATTGTGTTTTGAAGAACATCAATTACTAACGGGAAGATGGATTCAATGTTTTCATAATTTACTGGCATCTAGGATGAAAGAGAAGTAAGTGTTGAAGCCTTTGAACACCCATTTATCCGAAGCTATATACTTCGGTCACTTTACCAGAAATGTTAGATATTTAAAAGTTCGTGTGGGGGGAAAAAGTTTGCCCTCTAGGTTCTCAACTTTTACTCTGCCCCTGCCACCTTAGCTTTCTACTTAAGAAAAACTAGCCATGAGTGCATTAAGACATTAAAGTCCAGCCTAGGTCGTGGTCGCCAGGAGAAATCTGCCTAAAACCAAAGAACTTTATTTCAAGTCCTTTGGAAGGGTGGGAAGCCTGGTTTTTGTTTTATCTAAGCAAAGGAAAATGTATTCTAAATTAAAATACAGTTAAGGAGTCATGGTTTCCTTTTTCCCCAGACTTTGCCAAGAGCGGCAAAACGCAGGTGTTTACAGTTACAGTGATTCTTTTCCTGGTTCCAGAGAAAGGTGACCACTCACATTTGAAGTGAGATGTGCAATTTAGGCATTCAAGTTTGCTAAATAATTCCCTTTTGAATTATTATGTATTATTTGTATTAAAAATTACATCACGTTATTTATTTACTCATCTATGGGGTGGAGGGAACGGGAGTCACGGCGGCCACACTTGTGCGGGTCCGTTTTCTCCGTAGACTCCAGGAATCAAACTTAGGGCTTTAGGTTTGGCGGTAAGCGCCTTTGCCTGCGGAGTCGCCTCGACCGACGGACCCGTATTTTATTTTTTAAAGAGGTAAAACACTAACGCTATCATGAAAATAAATGCTGGGGCGGGGGTTCTGAAGTAATAGTCTCAGTTGTCAGACTGTAATCCGAAAATAGAAATTTAAAAAAATTTAAAAACCAAACACTTCTCCGCTCAAATGAGAGCTTTTGGATCTATTTCTTTATCAAGAACACATTTAGGAATGTTTTGGATGGTAAAGAGGCTGTTTTCTCGCTGTTGTTTTCAATCAGTAATTAATGATTGAGTGGCATGTGGGTCGTCACAGTATTTCACAAATTGCTCTCCCTGTGCGCAGAGAGCCTCTTTAAACGCGGAGAAGCTAAGAACAAAAAAACAGAAATCCTTGGCTGTGATTCTTGTACCGTTTAAATTACTTCAAACGTTCGGCTTTTAAATGTTAATTCCAAAGGCACTTATTTAAACGTCTTTGGGGAAAAAAAAACTTTTGAAAAATAACACCCCGGTAAAAGTCGGATCAAACCGGGTGAAAAATGAACATTGTTTTCCGAATGTGAATAGTTTAACTAGAAAGATGAAGCGCGCGAGAGAGGACAGAAAAGAGAGAAAAACTATTTCACACCTAGCCCACAGGGTGCCTGTTCGGTGATCATTCACATTTATTACTTTTGATGGCAAGGAGCCGATCGGTCGAGACTCGATCTGAGTGCTGTACTGAACGCGAAAATTTTGATTACACCACCCCTACCCAAAAAAAAGTTTGAATCTTTGAGACTTGTTAGAAAAGAAACAGCCGTCCCGTTGGCTGCGCACGCGAGCTAGGGAGGATGGAGGGGAGGGCGGCTGGGAGGTTGGAGGTTAAGACTGGAGGACACCAGGGCCGGATGAAGGAAGAAAGGATGGAAGGCGCTTTTCACCTTGACTCCGAAGCAGGCTGAGGGCTGCGAGCTGCAAGGCCAGGGCTGGCGGGGCAAAAGAGGCTCCGCGCTGCTTCGGGGTACGTGGGGCGTGGCAAGGGCGTGGATTGCTGAACCGCCCAGCCTCGGCAGGCCCGCAGGTATAAGAGACGCAGTTCCCCGCCCTCGGTGAGCTCCTCAGCGCTCCAGGTCCCTACTCTCTGCGAAGGCCGGGGTGGGCCGTTGGGTTGGTCCTCCAAGGGATGCTTTCTCCGAAGCGCCGAGGCCAGCCCCGTTCTCCCAAAGCCGCGACCGCGCCGCACCAGCCCTCGCCCACCGACATGGCCCTGTACTGCGGCGACAACTTCGTCTACTCACAGCCCGCCACCGCCGCGGCGCCCGGTGCGCCCTCGACCTCCAGGGGACCCTACGGGCTGTCCGACTACGCCGCGCCGCCCGCCGCCGCCGCCAACCCCTATTTGTGGCTCAACGGGCCCGGCGTGGGCGGCCCTGCCTCCGCTGCCGGCTACCTGGGCGCTCCGCCGCCCCCCGGAGCAGCTCCGGGACCCTTCTTGCAGCCACCAGCAGCTCCTGGTACCTTCGTGGGCACCCAGCGGGGTTTCGCGCAGCCCTCGGCTGCTGCTCCCGCCTCGCCCGCCGGCTCGGCAGCTCCAGGCGATCTGAACTGGCTGTCGGTGACCAACCCCGAGGACCTGCTGAAGATGGTGCGGCCGCCGTACTCGTACTCGGCGCTCATCGCCATGGCCATCCAGAGCGCTCCGGAGCGCAAGCTCACCCTCAGCCACATCTACCAGTTCGTTGCAGACAACTTCCCTTTCTACCAGCGCAGCAAGGCTGGCTGGCAGAATTCCATCCGCCACAACCTCTCACTCAACGACTGCTTCAAGAAGGTGCCCCGCGACGAGGACGACCCAGGTGAGACGGCCAGGGCCGGTGTTTCCCAGGCGGGGAAGGATGCGGAACCGAGTATCCTACAGGTGCTGGGAGCCAGAGCCCAAAATCGGGTCTTTGCGCGGCTAGGTTGAAAATCCACACGCGGTCTTCTCATCACTGGAGAACATTTGGGAAAGAGCCACCTCCAACCTGGTCTGATAGGGATGCGTTAAGTATCAGATCTTAGGGAGAACACACCTGGTCCCCTACGCTCAGGGCAGAAGCTGACCGGCTAGAAAAATAAATAAAAGTATGACCTCAAAATAGAAGACCGCTGCAAGGGACAGTTTAGTTACTGGAAGTAGATTGGGAGAAAGACCGGGAGGAAAGGAACTCTTAAGCAGCGTGCTCTAGCACCTGTTGCAAACGGTGAACTGAGAACATGGGGCCTCAGAATTTCATTGCGTCCTTACCCGTTCACCTAACTAGAGAGTGGTGATTTAATGATAAAAATCAGAAGTGGAGCTGGGTGGTGGCGGTACACGCCTTTAATCCCAGCACTCGGGAGGCAGAGGCAGGTGGATCTCTGAGTTCAAGGCCAGCCTAGTCTACAAGAGCTAGTTCCAGGACAGGCTCCAAAGTTACAAAGAAACCCTTTCTCAAAAAACACCATATATATATATATATATATATATATATATATATATATATATCAGAAGTGGGCCAACTGAGGTTTAGGTAAATTGGCGTCCCAATCCCTTGAGTGCAGGAGACTGCTGCATAGGTTGTGTTCTGAGTGTCGTCTTAACCTGGCAGAGGTGGAAGTGGAGCGAAGCTTACAAAGAAACAGGTTCTGTTTGAGGCCTTTTGAATGACCCTGAACAGCGAAGGGAGAGAGAAGGTGTAAATGAGATGAGAGCTATAGTTTTTTTAAATGTTACCAGGTCTTTTGTTGTATTGGCGGATGGAACCCAGGGCATCAGACAAGCAAAGGATTAGCCCTAACCTTGGCAGAAGTCACTCTGGGCAGAAGTGGTTCTTTTTTTTTTTTTCCTTTTTCCTTTTTCCAGTGCTGATAATGTATAGTGCAAACCAAATTTTAAAAAGTTAAACGTGATTAGGCTTGTTAAGTTTTGTTCCTTATACCTATCATTTAGGAGGTGGAGCATGAAGAAATCAAGAGTTCAAGGTCAGGTTCATAAATAACCTTTCTCTTAAATCTCATTGTGTATATTTTACAACACATTTTAATTTGGACACATTGCAAATGTCTTAATAGTCACTTGTGCCCAGTGGTGACACTTGGACAGGGCATGCAGTTTTTGAAGATGCCCTTCCCAATTTAGCCTCAAACCACCCAAGATTTTTATGTCTGTCATGTGTCTTCCTTTGATCTTTAAAAAAAAATTCAAAGATACTGCTATCTGGAATTTTTTTAAAAAAGAACAAAACCCCAGTGTTAGGTCAGGAGTGTAGTTAAAAATAGAACATTTGCCTGGTTTATTGAGGTCTTGGGTTTACTCTCCAGCACTGGAGAGAGGAAGATACTGATACCAAGTGACTCAATAGACCTATCCAGATAGTTACAGATACTATACCCCGCCCCCCCCCCCACACACACCTCTCTGTTTTACAGAGTCAGAGACTCTGAGTTTGAGGCCAGCCTGGTCTACAGAGTAAGTTCCAGGATAGCCAGGGCTGCATAGTGAGACCCTGATTCAAAAAAAAAAATTAAATTTGGAGCCAATTCACTTAAATCCTGCCTCACAATAACAACTTGTGTGGAACTTTGTACAGTAGGTAGCCAGCCTGTACCTCGCCTCTCATCTGGAAACTGAGGGCTTTGGTCCTGTTGCCCTTCTCCATAGAGCTCCGGCGGACACTTGAGCTTCTCCATGACATACTCACTGTAAAGAGCTTAAAGACACTGGAGAACCTATTTGGGTGATAATTCTAAGATGCAGTAGGTCTTCCCCTTCGGTCACTGGAGAGCATTTTGTACAGAAGACACGTGTTGTGTTTTAAGCGAGTAGAGAATTTTCCCAGTGGACAACTTGTACACAGCCTGTTCAGATGAGAATGGGGTGCCGGTTCCCAGTTTCCTTGTACTGCAAATAAGCCCCGTCAGTACAGTTGTTACAGTTTGATTGCTCGTTAGTATAATTTAACATTTTGTAATTGTTTTTTTCCAATGTGATTCAGTTGTAGGAGTTGTAAATTTTTCATAAATAATTGTAGTAACTACTGTTCAGGCTGCTTGCCGTGTGCCAGCTATTACACCAAGGTATCATTTAAGCCTAAGTTAACTTACTACATGTTATAACTTACTGTCCTCCTTATTTTAGAAAACAAATGGAAGCTCCTGGTTTTTTGTTTTTGGTATTTGTGGGGGCGTGGGGGTGTTCAAGACAGAGTTTCTCGTGGCTTTGAAGCCTGTCCTGGAACTCTGTAGACCAGACTGGCTTTGAACTCACAAAGATCCACCTGATTCTGCCTCCCAAGTACTGCGATTAAAGGCGTGTGCCACCACTATCTGGATGGAAGCTCCTGTTTTAATAGCACCAGAATTTCATAATTTTGCAAATCTACATGGGAAGGTGGTGGGTGTAGGTACCTCAGGAATAATAAAATTAGGTCTTAAGATGGAAGTGGCAGGTGATGGTAAAATAAGGTAGAACTGGCTACAACAGCTTATTCTGAATTTCTCTTTCTTAGTGAGTAAGACCTCGAGAGGAAGATGACACTGGAATGAGCACCTTGGTCAACATTTAATGAATCTGATTTCCTGGTAGTCCAATATGGGCTGCAGTGATCTTCCCTAGCTGTGTTTTATTAGTTAATTGGTCATTTGCTGTCCAGAATAATTAAGCAGCGAATTCTAAGCCAGTCATTGAGGCACACAACCTGTAATTCTAGGATTTGGGAAGTGGAGGCAGAAGGATTAGTTCATCGCCTGCACAGCAAGTTTGGGGCTGCCTGGACTATGCAAGACCCTGTCTCAACAAATAGAAACGAAAGAGAAAGAAGAGGGCTAGGGCTGTATGTCCAGTTGTAGATACCAGCCTATCATGTATAAAGCCCTGCTTTTGATGCTTTTGATCCTCAGCATTATAGAACAGGTTTGGTGGGAGAGAGACAGCAGGACCAGAGTAAATTTAAGGCCAGCATGAGATATATAAACTGTCTTTAAACTCCAGCAACAGACCCCATTCAACATCCCTTATAATGTTATTCTGCCTAATTTATATATTTACTTTGTCATAGATGTATATCTATAGGAAAAAAAAACGTAGAGTTGATAGGATTTGGTGCTGTTGGTGATTTCAGACACCCACTCAAGTGTCTTGAAACTTTAAGGGTTTTATTCTGTGCACAAAAATAAAATAGAACCTTCAAGCTGGGTGTGGGAGCACACACCTTTAATCCCAGCACTCGGAGCCCCAGGCAAGTGGAGTTCAAGCAAGCCTAGCCTGGTCTACAGAACAAGTTCCAGGACAGTCAGGGCTACTACCCAGAGAAACCCTGGCTCAAATAATCATTAAAAAAGGACCCTCACTAACTTTCTTTTTTCCTCAGGGAAAGGCAATTACTGGACTCTAGATCCAAACTGTGAGAAAATGTTTGACAATGGAAACTTCCGTCGGAAACGAAAACGCCGTTCTGAGGCCAACAGCAACCTCACTGTGGCTTCAGGAACACCAAAATCAGAAGGACTGTCCTCAAGACTAAGAGTGAGTGGGAAGCTGGAAGGAGACAGCCCCTCGTCTCTGAGGCCATCTCAGTCCCCAGAGCCTACAGAAGGCACCAGCAGTACCTCCTCCTCTCCTGGAGCATCCACACACATCTCCACGCCGTGCCTCAACACTTTCCTCAGCACCCTCAACACTCTAAGCGTAAACCCCAGCAGCGTGAGTACCCAGCGAGCCATCCCAGGCAATCGCCGCCACCTAGGGGGCACCCAGCTGCCCTCCAGCGCATTCCCCAACACCTCCATCCCAGACAGTTCTCCAGACTCCATGCAGCTGAGCACTGTGGGTGGAAGCAACCAGCTATCTTCCTACTACAGCCCATTTCCTGGCAGCAGCAGCGGGGACCAGAGTAGCCCCTTCAGCAGCGCCTTCTACAACTTTAGCATGGTCAACAGCCTCATCTACCCCCGGGATGGCTCTGATGTGTAAACTACTCCGACTTTGTCAATGTACACTTGAGATCCACTTTGAATGTAGACTCAGTTCAGGAAGTCTGGGGTAGGACTGCACTTCTGCGTTGATTTCTGTGAGCTGCTGAGTGACCCCACTGACTACGAACGCTCACAGTAACCAGAGTAGTTCTTACACGCCAGGTTTCTCTGGCTGTGAGCCTCTCTGGAGATAAAAGGCACCTTCCTTGGTCCTGGGATAGTAGGGAGAACTCTGAGGACTGCATCTATTATTCACTTCTATACCAGAGCAGCAAGCTCAAATGTATACAGGCAGCTTGGTGGGGGAACAGCCCATTGAAGTTATGGGTGGGAAAATTAAAGCCATTGGCAGCTGGAGGCATGGGGGGATTGACCAGCTGGTTATTTCCTCCAGGACAGCATTCTGACTTTTTGAAGAAAGTCAGTTAATCTAGTTTTGTTTTTTTGTTTTGTTTTGTTTTTGTTTTTATAAGAAAACTCATTTTATTATATCCTTTGCTTCCTGTGGTGTCTGGAAATGCCACAAACCCTTTCTGAATCTAGCTCACGAGTTACCTCTGTCTGGAAATGGTAGGTGCTACTGCAGGAGTGCTTTGTGCCAAATGTTTATATAGCTGGAAGGTCAACTCATTTACTTCTGGACAGCAAGTTTCCTTATGTTCCAAGATGCAGGGTTTCTGAAGCCGTCGATATTCTGTGTGGGTGATAGGTATAAGTGCTCTTCTGAGATGGCAGGTAACACACATACCAAGGTCACACGTGGGAAATGATGGGTTCTTAAACATGCCAGCATCATAATAAACACAGTGTACATGGGATGATTAAGTCCTTGTGGTAAACCTGGCATCGTGCCCCTTTTAGCTTATGCCCTAGTTATTTCATTGACAGTGACATCTTACAGGTTAATTTTGGTTGGGTCTTTGAGACAAGGTCTCTGTGTAGCCCTGGTTGTCCTGGAACTGACTATATAGACCATGCTGCTGGCCTTGAACTCACAGAGATGCCTCTGAGTGCTTCCACTTCCAGACCAATCTTACAGTTTTTAATGAGAGACTATTCTGGTAAATGCTTTTAAAAGTTATATGTATATAATTTGTTTCAGTACCACTTCTGAGGTAACTTCATTTGAATCATCTTGTAGTGCAGAGCATCTAGCACAGCGTAGTTGAACAAAGAGCGCTAACAAACAGGACCGGTTGGATTTACAGCAACAGTCCACCACTAAAATGAAGGTAATCAACAAGCTCCCGTGCTACCATGTTCTTCAGATATTGACGTGAGATACGAATGTCATGAAATTGTGTATGGCGGGGGGGAGGGGGGGATCCCTGGTGTGTGTGTGTGTTTTTTTTTTAAGACAAGGATTTATTTTATGCCTCCTGTATATTAGAAATCAGCATTAGTTTAAATGTTTTAGAAATGTATGGAAAATTTTAATAGCCTCTTGGTGTACAAATTGCATCACTGTTGTTTATTAACTGTTATGCAAAAAGATAACCAATGAAACTACCTGGACTCATACTTTATGCATAAAAATTTTCTTAATATTTTTGTACGTGAAGAATCGTAAGGACTCTTATGAATATTTCTAACACAACTCTATATTTGTAAATTAATTTATAATGTCTGCTGGAGCTGCAAAGATTTTTTTTTTCCCCCTGAGAGTACTCTGCATGCTAAGAATAAACTCTTCAATGGAATGATGGCCCCTGGCTTTGGCATTACTGCTTTTCTGACCTCTGTGCCTTTCTTGAAGGAACAAGAACAGATGACCTTTCGCTCAAGCCACTGGAGGGACTCTGTTTGACTTTGACACTGAATTTGCTCCACCTATCCCCAGGTGAAAGAGCTAGAATAACAGTTACTCTTCCCGAAGGTTTTGGGCATGGGTGTTATATTTATTTATAATACAGAAACAGTTCTGGTAGAAGCTAAACTTGAGCTGGGATGGATGGGCCACAGTAGTAGATTGCTTGTGTAGCTTTCCTAGTATAAGGCTCTAATTGGGGGCAGAGGACAGAGTAACACAGTGCACAATAGTCCAAAGAAAACAGTGCTGAGCCGGGTGGTGGTGGTGAACGCCTTTAATCCCATCAGAGGCAGGTTTATCTCTGCATTCCTGGCCAGCTTGGTCTACAAAGTAAGTTCCAGTACAGCTAAGGCCGTTACACAGAGAAACTCTGTCTTGTGGGGGAAAAGGTGCTCTGAGGCTGCCCTCACGTGGAACTCTGCGGGGTGAACATGTTTTGGGGGGAGAAGGAGCCATAGGCAGTCCATTTCCAAGGCTGGATCTGGAAGTTTGAACTTGGCCCCACCCAGAAAGTTCTTTGTTTAGGCTGTCCCACTGACTAGATGCCAGAAGCATACTCACAGTACAAATAGCTACCCTGGGTGGGAAGGTGGTCACATAGGGCCATATTAACTCTGGGAATAACCCTTTACCTAAACCTCCTCAAGGGGGTCAAGTGTGAGGATTAGTTGGGGAAAAAACAAACCGGATCAAAGTTTATTAGAACTAGATTTGGGTACTTGGTTGACATTAAAAGCTAGAATGATAGCATTTTGAGGACCTGCCTTGGGGTGGGGAGCAGCAAGGTGACTGAGACCAAGTATGAAATACACCAGAGTGCAGCTCTTGCCATTCTTTCAGAGCAAGGAAGTTCCTGCTGGGGCCCGGATGATTCCAGGTCAAAGTGCGCCAGCACCCAGTTGCTGCATTGCATCTATGATGTTTCCTGCCTTGGAACCATATCAGAAAATTTAGAAGTGGGCTAGACCACACTTTGGGTTGCTTGCAGCAATATTGAGAACACAATGCCCTATGATATGGAGCGAGGGTCCCTGGGGAGTGAACTCAGTGAGGTTAATAATGTTTCTGCTTTCCGTGGCCTGCTGTGCCCTTTGAGATATGGCAGGACAGGAGAATTTTGGGTTTGGGAAGTAGTATTTGAAGCCCAGGCTGGCCCTCAAACTCTCTGTAGCAGAGGCGGACGTTGTTTTTGCACTTCCTGAGTGCTGTGCCATCATGTGCTCGGTTCATCTGGGCGTTTTAAAATCCCCTACCATGCTTGAACTTTCTGAGGAGGCTTTGAAAACAGCGCTGCAGCCTCCCCCTCTCCTGAATTGTGCTCCTGAATCCCTCCCAAGGCAAACCAAGGCCGCCAGGAGCACAAAAGAGCCCTGAACTTCAGAGGAGATTCCCAGGGCCTTCTCTGCCTTCTGAAGATTGAAAGCACCTGTCTTTAGGGTCTGGTTGGCTTTTGTCTTTTTTTTTTCCTACTGCTTCTGGGGTCATTAATGAGAAAGAAACCCCTGGTGCTCTCCCGGGGCAGGAGGTCGACTGGCCTCTAGGCTAGAGTTCTAGCTTTGGCTTTGCCTTTGTCATGGAGAGCTGTCATCTGGGGCGTGCGGTTAGGCCGGGTTAGGTGGCTGGCACCACTAAGAAAAGGAATTTCCTGCCAGATTTGGGAACAAAACACAAAGAGGCCCAGCAGACTGGTGCCCTCCTGAATTCCTCTCCAGGAGGCCTTAAGAACGGCCCTTTCTCATGTTAAAAAAGGCAAGTGTCACTATTGACCCAACTGGAAGGTGGCTGTGTCCAAACACCTATGTAACTGACTTAACACTCCATCAGCCCTTCTAATAACAACTCCCTGCCTGGGAGTTTCTACAACCAGGCCTGATCAGTGATCTAAGTGACTGCTTCAGGCAAGTGCTCAAATCAGGATTCAAAATGAGGCCGTGGGGTTGGAGAGATAGCTCACATCTTAAATTCCAGCACTTGGGACAGAGTTTGGGACCAGCCTGGTCTACACTGGATTCTAGGGCAGTCAGGGCTACACAAAGAAACCCTGTCTAGAAAAGTAATATAACAAAAAAAAACGCGTCTGTGTATGCACACGCGTGCGCACACACACACACACCCTTCAAAAAAAAAAAAACGTATATATACTGTTCTTGCAGAGAACCGAGTTGGGTTCCCAGCACCCACATGGGGGCTCACACGTCTGATGTTCTGATTCCTTGGGCTCCTGCATATGTGATGCACATTATACAGTCAGACACACACAAACATTTTAATTTCATTTTGTTTGCTTTTTGTTTTTCCTGGGTTTTTCTGTAGCTTTGGAGCCTGTCTTGGAACTAGCTCTTGTAGACCAGGCTGGCCTCGAACTCACAGAGATCCAACTGCCTCTGCCTCCCGAGTGCTGGGATTAAAGGTGTGTACCGCCACCACCTAGCTCACATTTAAAAATTTTAAGCTATGTGATGTCATAACCTATCACATTACACGGCCCCCCATTTAAAAAAAGGAAAAATAACTTTCCCAAAACCACTCAGTCACACCAGGGAGTTGTAGATGCGGTTGCTGTGTTTAGTCTCCACTGTGAACCCGTGGGCCCCCATGGCCTCATTCGTCCCCCTTTCATAACACCCTGCTGCCCCTTCGTTCTCCAGAGAAGAGATTCTCCACCAGACACCTGCGGCCTTTGATCACCAGCCCTCCAAGTGCCCCCAGCATTGTTTCAGGGCGAGACTTTCAAGTCCCTCACTCCCAGGTTTGGGGAAGTTAACACTCCTGAACAGCTGCTGCGGCATGCCCACGGAAGGAGCACTGAACTTCCGTGCAGCCAAGCATGCCCTCTGCCAGCCCTAGTCACTATCATCAGCCCCAGACTCTCCCTGAACTCAGTTATGGACCCATGTTCTGGTAGCCTTCCTGCTGAGAAACCACCAAAAGCAAAGCCCCAGTTAGGATGATGGGACACTCCAGCCCAAGGGGACGCTGAGGAATGGCGAATGCTTTGGCTGGAGAGGGGGTGAGGACACTTCAGAGAGGCCTCATCCCAGATGAGAGTTGCCAGGTATGGAATTCCCGGAGAGAAGGAACAGGTGCTGGTTGGGAGGGACTCAGGAGAAGCCTGGGCCTGAGCGATGGATCCGAGAAATGCTAGTGGGAGGCAGCTCTTGGAGCAGAGAGGGCAGGGAAGGAAGCTG